CTCTCCAGAGCTGGGCAGCCCTGGGGCTGCCTCAGAGAGAACCTGACCCCCAGGGTGTCCCCTCAAAGAGCCACCAGGTCATCCCACCCCTGGCCTCCTACTGCTCCTGTGCTGCAGGCTGCCCAGTCACCGTCTTCCAAACAATTCTGTCCCAGTGCTGCCGGTGCTGGCCTAGGAGGGCTTGCTGGCCCGGAGGAGGACTGTGCCAGGGCAGGGCTCACACGGTGGGCAGGATCAGGTGTGCTGTTGCTGGGGGGCTCCTCAGACAGAGCAGGGATATGGAGCTCCAGGGAGGTGGAGGCTGGGGGTACAGTGGAGCACATGGAACAGGGGAGTTCACATACTGGCAACAGTCCCCTTCAGCAAGGGAGGCCCTGGCACCTGCAGCAGCAGGGAGGGGTGGCCTCAGGCCATGTGTAAACTCATCCAGCCCCACCTACTGCAATATGGTCTCCACTGGCTCTAGCCACAGTCACCTCCAAGACTGCTAGGCTTTGCCAGGAACAAGTGCCCTCAGGGTGGCAGTGCTACACGTGCAGTGGGGTCAGCCGCACAGGTGTCCACTCTGCTCTGACAGCCCCAGACAGACTCCTGACATGGGGTGCAGACAACACCCAGCAGCACAGCCCCTCTGCCAGCTCAGCTGAGCCACACTCAGTTGGGTACCAGTGCCTCCGTGAGGTGGTGGCTCACCCCGAGGTGGGGCTACTTCACCGGTCTCCTCCCTCTCCTGGCCCATCCTCACTCATCTCCTCCTGTCACCTGTCTCCTGTCTCACTTGCCTTGCTCTCTCACCTGTCTTCTCCTGTCTCACCTGTCTCTTGTCCCATCCTCATGTCTCCTCCTGTACCTATCCATCACCTCCCATCACAGTCCCATCCTCCCTGGCTCCTCCCACCCCTGGATGTCCCATCAGCTGCCAGTGCTTCACACCAATTAACTCGTAAGTCCCTTGGAAGGGCACAGGGACGTCAAGGCCCTCAGACTGGCAGCCCAGCCAGCACCCCTGTTCTTGTGACCCCAGCCAAGTGAGTGGGAAGACAGCCCTGTCCTCATCCCCAGTGACCCAGGCAGCTGAGGGGCCCTGTCTGCTACCTGTTCCCACAAGTGCCCAGATGCCACAGGCTGCAGGGGACCAGGCCAACCTAGGCAGGGGAGTTCTGGTCCGGGCAGAAAAGTGCCCAGTTCATTTACCAATAGGCAAAAGGATGAGACCACACTGCCCACGGAGGCCACGTGCCCTTGGGTCCTGCACCCGTCCCTCCCTCCAGGCTCTGGGCAGGTGTCCCAGTAGCTCTGGCTCCTAGCTCTCACCATGCGCCCCCGCAGGGGCTGGACGGGCCTCTCTTGGTCAGGGATAACAGCAGAGCCCTCAGGTGGATGTCGCCCCTGCCCCCACGCCTGCCCCCGGGCCTTGAACAGGGTCTCTGGGCCTAGAGGTCTCTTGGGGCTACCAAGTGCCAGCTGGGGTACACCCTAGGCCACCAAAGAGCTTGCAGGGGACACACCTGGGCAGAAAAGAGATGAGAGCAGCCACACAGGCCAAGAGCAAGGTCAGACGCCATCACAAAGTGACAGGAACAACTCTAGGGGCCAAGACCACCCAGGCTGAGGGTGCAGGAAGGGGTGGGCTGGCCCAAGAGGGCAGCGAGAAGGTGTACGCCACTGTGTGGTGTACCTTCCCTCGGGCTGCCCGCTGCCACCAGACCATCCCTTCCATCCACCTTCATCTGGAAAGACGTGGCCAGGGGGATGCGGGGAAGGACAGGGGCATGAAATGTCCTGAGCTTACAGACACGGTTTGGGCAAGAGCTGGGGGTGCCATGTGTGACCTGCGTGGTTGCTGGTGCCACACCACGATCACGTCCTACACAAGGAGTCCCACACAGAACATACTCGGGCGGCAGTGGACAGAGGTCCGGGGCACACTCCCCCATCGAGGTCTCCTGGCAGGGACCCTGTCCCCCTCCGGGATGGAGGGCAGGCACACACTCGGGGCCACATCCTCAGGATGCCCCTCAGCAGCACAGCCGGAAGATGGACACACACTTGCTCTGTGAACATCAGGACTCAGGAGGGCACCGCTTCTCACAGCTGCTTGGGCTGTCTCCTAAACACCGCACTACATGCCTTGGTGACACCTGTCACCAGCAATCAGGTTGGAACCTCCTGAATGAACTCAGAGTCAGGGAGTAGAGAGATGCGGCCTTGTGCATGGCTCCTGCTGTCATCACCTGCATGCCCAAGGCTCCTCACGATAACACTGTATTGATACAGCAATTAGATTATTTCACTGCCTCCTGCATTCTGCTGCCCTTGGCCCTTCCTTCACTAAGGGTCTCCTAAACTACTTCTATTTCCCAGGAAGCCAAGCACCAGCTATCTGTGCCTCCCCTAGACCCAAGCCACATTCTGTGCCCCACGTCCTCCTGCCTCCCAGGGCGGACCAGACACTTTCCTGCCTCTGCCTCAGTTACATCACAGCCCAGGCTGGCCCACTTTCTTTCCAAAGGCTTCCTCCCTATCTGCTTCAGGCGTCTCTGCAGTACTTGCTGAGCCCCCCCCCCACACACACACACACACACACACACACACACACGGGCACCCTCCTGCTCTCCCAGGCCTGCCTGGACCCAAGGAACTTCTCCCATAGGAAGGAGGAGTGCTCCTGTGGTGATCAGACCTTTCTGGGCCCAGGAGACAGGCTGTCCCTGGGAGAAGAAAGAAAATGGCTGAGTTCCAGCCTCCGACAAAGAGGTCTATGAATGCGCCCGGCTGACCAGGCGAAGGGGCTGGCCTAGGCCTGGCCGGTGGCCAAACGCAAGGGTCGCAGTGCTCAAGACTGGCCAGACGCTGGGCCCCCAGCAGGACCTAACCTGTCTCGGGACAGACAGCCAGGATCAGCTGGAATCCCCCTCCCTGGAGGCCCAGGCGGCCCAAGGGCCGGTGGCAGGGTCACCCTCTCCTTCCCTAGGAAGCAGTGTCTCAGCCACTCGGGTTCAGACAGCGAGAAAGGCGCTGTCCAGCCGCGCACGGTCCTGCGTTCTCCCTGGCGCAGAGGGGTGTCGGGCCTGGGCAAGGCTCAGGCCTGGCCGCGGGCGGGGGTCACT